CCTCCGCTCCGCCCGCACGGCGGGGCCGACATCGCGGGGTGCTGCTGCTCCGTGTCCCGCTGTCCTGCTGTCCTGCTGTCCCTGTGTCGTGTCCCGTGTCCCGGCACGGAGGGTGAGTGCGGGGAAGGGCCCCGGGAGGGGAGCGCGGAGCGGGGCGGGTTTGGGGATGCGGGTCCCGCTCCGCCGCCCCCGGTGATGCTGAGCGGCGGCACCGGAGGGAGCGGGCACGGCGAGGTGGCACCAAGGTCTGGGTGTCCCCAGCCCCACCGGAGGGACTGGAGGTGGCACCGCGGTCTGGGTGTCCCCAGCTCCGTGGGGACTCAGAGGTGGCACCGAAATCTGCGTGTCCCAAGCTCCATGGGGACTCAGAGGTGGCACCGCAGTCTGGGTGTCCCCAGCCCCACCGGAGGGCGAAGTGACACCGAAATCTGCGTGTCCCCAGCTCCACGGGGACTGGGAGGTGGCACCACAGTCTGAGTGTCCCCAGCCCCATGGGGACTGGAGGTGGCACCGCAGTCTGGGTGTCCCCAGCCCCACGAGGAGGAAGTGACACTGAAATCTGGGTGTCCCCAGCTCCACAGGGACTGGAGGTGGCACCGGGGTCTGGGTGTCCCCAGCCCCACCGGAGGACGAAGTGGCACCGAAATCTGGATGTCCCCAGCCCCATGGGGACTGGGAGGTGACACTGAAATCTGTGTGTCCTCAGCCCCATGGGGACTCAGAGGTGGCACCACAGTCTGGGTGTCCCCAGCCCCACGGGGACTCAAAGGTGGCACCACAGTTCTGCGTGTCCCCAGCTCCATGGGGACTGGAGGTGGCACTGCAGTCTGGGTGTCCCCAGCTCCATGGGGACTGGAGGTGGCACCGCAATCTGGGTGTCCCCAGCCCCATGGGGACTCAGAGGTGGCACCGCAGTCTGGGTGTCCCCAGCCCCACAGGGACTGGAGGTGGCACCACAGTCTGCGTGTCCCCAGCCCCATGGGGACTCAGAGGTGGCACCAAAATCTGCGTGTCCCCAGCTCCCGGGGAGTTGGAGGTGGCATTGGAATCTGGGTGTCCCCAGCTCTATGGGGACTGGAGGTGGCACCGGAATCTGGGTGTCCCCAGCCCCATGGGGACTCAGAGGTGGCACCGCAGTCTGGGTGTCCCCAGCCCCACGGGGACTGGGAGGTGGCACCGCAGTCTGGGTGTCCCAAGTTCCCGGGGACTGGGAGGTGGCACCGCAGTCTGGGCATCCCCAGCCCCACGAGGAGGAAGTGACACCGAAATCTGGGTGTCCCCAGCTCCACAGGGACTGGGAGGTGGCACCGCAGTCAGCCCCATGGGGACTCAGAGGTGGCACCGCGGTCTGGGTGTCCCCAGCCCCACCGGAGGACGAAGTGACACCAAAATCTGCGTGTCCTCAGCTCCAGGGGAGTGGGAGGTGGCACCGAAATCTGGGTGTCCCCAGCCCCATGGGGACTGGAGGTGGCAACGAAATCTGGGTGTCCCCAGCTCCATGGGGACTCAGAGGTGGCACCAAGATCAGGGTGTCCCTAGCCCCACCAGAGTGTGAAGTGGCACCAAAATCTGGGTGTCCTCAGCTCCACGGGGACTCAGAGGTGGCACCAAAATCTGCGTGTCCCAAGCTCCCGGGGAGTGGGAGGTGGCACCGCAGTCTGGGTGTCCCCAGCCCCACGGGGACTCAGAGGTGGCACCAAAATCTGGGTGTCCTCAGCTCCACGGGGACTCAGAGGTGGCACCAAAATCTGGGTGTCCCCAGCTCCACGGGGAGTCAGAGGTGGCACCGAAATCTGCGTGTCCCAAGCTCCCGGGGAGTGGGAGGTGGCACCGAAATCTGGGTGTCCCCAGCCCCACGGGGACTCAGAGGTGGCACCAAAATCAGGGTGTCCCCTGTCCCATGGGGACTGGGAGGTGGCACCGCAGTCTGGGTGTCCCCAGCTCCATGGGGACTCAGAGGTGGCACCAAAATCTGCGTGTCCCCAGCTCCACAGGGAGTGGGAGGTGGCACCGCAGTCTGGGTGTCCTCAGCTCCATGGGGACTCAGAGGTGGCACCAAAATCAGGGTGTCCCCAGCCCCACCGGAGGGTGAAGTGGCACCAAAATCTGGGTGTCCTCAGCTCCCGGGGAATGAAATCAGTGACGTGTCCGGCCCCAGCGGTTTTGGGGAGTGGGAGGTGACACCAAGAGGGTGTCCCCAGGCCTGCTGGTTTTGGGGAATGGGAGGGAGCACCAAAATCAGGGTGTCAGCAGCTCTGGTGGTTGTGGGGAGAAGGAGGTGGCACTGAAAACAAGTGTCTTCAACCCTGGCAGTTTTGGCACCTAAATGAAGGTGTCCCCAGCCACACAGGAAGCAGGAGGTGTCACCAAAATCAGGGTGTCCCCAGCAGCTGTGGCACTGGCAGGAAGGAGCCAGGCTGTGGGAAGCACTGGGTGTGCAGCGTGGAGTACCTGGGACCCAATTCACAGCCTGTGTTTAACAGGTCCCTTGTAAAAGTGCAGTTATTACACATCTCCTGATGATTATAGAGCTGTAAAAAGAACTGGGCTCCGTGTTCCACAGGTGTGGACGCCAACCTCGGGCTCTTAAGCAGTGGGGCTTCACCGTAGGAAGTGACAGAACACGATAAAAATGTACTTAGTGCAGCAAAACCTGAGTGAAAATACAAGCTGGCCACCCTGAAGGCTGCTGAGGGATTTTGGATAAGGGCCTGGAGTGGCAGGATGTGTGGCAGGACGTGGGGGAATGGCTTCCCACTGCCAGAGGACATGGAGGGATGGGAATTTGGGAAGGAATTCCTCACTGGGAGGGTGGGGAAGCGCTGGCACAGGGTGCCCAGGGAAGCTGGGGCTGCCCCTGGATCCCTGGAAGTGCCCAAGGCCAGGTTGGATGTGGTTTGGAGCAGCCTGGGACAGTGGGAGGTGTCCCTGCCCATGGCACAGGGTGGACTGGGATGTGTTTAAGATCCCCACAACCCAAACTATCCTGTGATCCTATAAAAGCACATGGGCAGGTGCTGGGCTGACCCTGGCAGGTTGGGAAAACGCTGCCTTTAGCATGGTGTTTTTCTTCAGGCTTGTGGTCCCTCTTCCCTACATCCAGCTGCACATCCTTGTGCTGAATCAGGCTGTAAATCCCTTGGAACAACACCCAGAGCAGCTGCAGAGCCATGTACCAGAAATCCCATGCTGGTAATCCCAGATGCTCAGAGAATGAGTCAAGTTTCTCTCCCCCAATCAACATGTTTTTGTTTAAAATCATTAAATATTAAGTGTCAGTTTTGAACCTCTGTGTTTTTGACTTTGAACCTCCCCATGGTCGCACCTCTGCTTGGATGAGTTTGTAAGGAAAGGACAGAAAGATCAAAATGTTTATGATGACAAAGAATAAAGTGTGAGGGCACAAAGATCAGCTCAGAGAAGGAGAATTCAGAGCTGACTCTGTCCCTGTGTTGTGTGTCTCTGTCCCCTTGCCCAGCCAGGCCCTGTACCTGCACTGCAGGTGAATTCCAGAGGTAATTGCAGAGGGATGTTTTATGGCAGGGAGCAGGGGAGTTGTCCAGGTTGTTCCACAGCTTGGTGATTCATCAACCTCTGCATGGTGATATTTTACTCTTCAGTCAGCCCACAATTAACTCGCTTACCCCAGTTTCCCCTCTTCCCACCGTGCCTTCCTTGCTTTAAGTCAATTAGTGCTTCCCAGCGGGATAATTGCTCTGCTCCCTGCCAGTCCCATCCTCTCAGTGACATCTTTTCCAGAGGGATAATCTGCAGGCCTTTAGCCTCTCTGAGGTTTGACATTGGGTCAAATGGGAGATCCCATAATCAGTGGGATGGATCCTGCCTGCTGATCCTCGTGGCTGAATTCCCTTTGTCTGAGCCAGGGAGGTGATTGTCATTAGCACCCCGAGGTGCTGCAAGGAAGAAAAATTCCTTTTTTTCCTTTTTCTTGCACCCTTGGGAGCTCTGTAGTGTTGGAATTTGAGGTATTGATGATTCTGAGATTGTAAAAAGTCTCTGTGTTTTTGCTTTGTTGCCAAAGCAGAAGCCATAATTGGTCTGTGCTGTTTCAAGGTTGTTTATTCTGTTTATCTCTAACATGTTCTGCTGCCCTGCCGCAGCTCTGTCCTGCAGGGCAGCGTGTGGGGCTCTGCCCTCAGTGGGATGGTACAAACATTAAATACCAAAAACTACCTGTGCTATATTTACAATAATGTGCTAATATCTATCATTTACGTTGAATAGTGTGTTTCTAGCCTAAACTAATAGAAAAATGCCAACACCACAGTGAAACATGGAGGGCATGAAGAAGGAGAAAAAGGACAAGACACACCCAGTTTCCTCCATCTTGTCCCCTCTGAACCCCTAATCTAGAATCCTAAAATTTTACTTTTGCACCCATGCCACACTTAATTATTACTTATATCAAACACTCAGAGCTGGTAATTCATCCTGTAAGGTTGAAAACTCTTTTCCATGGACAGAGATCACAGCCAGTGTCTCTGGGGGCTCTGTCCAGGGGGGTTCCTGACCCCTGCCAGGGTCCCAGGGCAGCCAGAGGGATGTCCTGGATTCCCACACTGTAGGAGAGACACTTGGGCCTTGTTAACTCAAGGTTGAGGCAGGTTATCCCAGTCTCTTGCTGCTTGATTTTCCATTTTCCCAAGTTTCAGCTGTGAGAGAAGAAAGAGGGAGTATTTCCTTTTATCCTGTTTATATGGTTGTGGCAATTACGTAGGAGAACCCTGTCCAGAATCAGGAGTTACAAACTTGGGTTACACACAGAAGTCATCAAGTGGAGGATTCCCAACCCATGGAAGATTCCCAACCCATGGAAGATTCCCTGCCTGTGGAAGATTCCCTTCCCACGGCAGGGGCTTGCAACAAGATGAGCTTTAAGGTCCCTTCCAACCCAAACCATTCTGTGATTAAAAATTTAAAAAAATAATAATTTTGCTGCATGAAGTCTGATACTTCTGAAAATTTCCCTCTTTTTTTTTTTTTTCCAAGTCTGTATTCCTCAATACTTTAATTCCTTTCCTCAGGTCTATTGGCTGGATCTTGTGGACTCAAAGGAAAGGAATGCTTCAGTTATTCCTGTGTGTGCTTCAAAGGCCTCCTGGATGAGGTGCATGTCCAACAGTTCAGAAGTGGTGAAAAGGCACCTTTGATAGTTCCATGCCAATAAACTTCAGAAGGAATTTCAGGTGGCAGCTTTCCTGAAGGATTGAGGCGGATTGAGTGATGCACGAGATGCTGGCAGGTATTTTTCCAGTAATTGCTGGGAGAATATTTCAGCCTAAAAAAGGAGGTTTCACCTGGGCTTTGCACGTAATTTCAGCAGAATTTTGATCACCAGGATGGTCATTCCAAGTGCCAAATGCTGAAGGTCAGCTTGGACAGGGCTTGGGGCAACCTGGGACAGTGGAAGGTGTCCCTGTCCTGCAGTGGGATCAGTTTAAGGTCCCTTCCAACCCAAACCATCCTGGGATTCCATGATTTTCAGTGAAGGCTCAGGAGAACCCTTGGCATTCCTTGTTTTCTTGCTGTGTCTACCATCCAACAAAGTGAAATTGGGATTTCTTGCCTCAAGCCTGGGGTTTTTTGATGTGCTTGGGTTGAACTACAGGCTTTGGCTTTGCACCAAACTGGGGGTGAAATGGTTTTTATTTGGGTTTTGCCTGGGTTTTGCTTTGATGTTCGAACAAATCTGAACTGTTGTGTGAAACCTGCTTGGAAGAAGCTTCCAAACCCCATCGTTGATATCATCTTACGGGTCTGGAAGTGGGGCAGTAAAGGATTAGAACCTGAGGGTTTGTGTTAAAAAAACCCTACAGAATCATCCTGGAATTTTTTTGGGTTGGAAGGGCCCTTAAAGCTCATCCCATTCCCAGCAATTCTCCTGATGTTTGTAGACGTGGCAGAGGTAGAACCCAGTCCTGCCCTCATTGCTCTTCAGGGAAAATTGTGATTTCTTAAATTCAATGTTTCCACTCCCAGCTCTCAATCCAGGGGACAGCCCACTCCATCCTTCATTTTCACCCTTCATTATCCTGCATTTTTTGTAAACATGTTAAAAAACAAAGTGGGAAGAGATCCTTGCAACAACGGGGTGAAAAATCAGGTGTGTGAATAGATTGGACATTCTGCTTCTTCAAAATGTTGAAGTAGAGTTGTTTTCACACTCATAATTAGTTTTGCCCATAAAATAGTGTGTGAGAACAATTGTCTTACCTATGTCAAAATGTCTGTGTTTTCCTATAAAGAAATGTGTTTTTCTTCCTTGTAGCCAAGTTACACGATTATTTCCAAATGTTAGGGAAGCCAAGACTGAAATCCTACCTTGATTTTTATGGATGGAGAGTTAATAAATTGTAGGAGCAGCTTTGCCTTAGGTTTAAGTGCAAGATACTGTAATTTTTATCTGTTCTTTCAAATGTAACAGGCAAAAAACCTGTGTGAAACACCATCTTTAGTGGTATCACAATAATTAATTCCCTGGTGGCCCCATAGAACTTTTCACTCCTTCAATCTCTGCCACAGAGTGGAGGGTTGATGTTGGAATTATGGTTACTGAGAATTTTGGATTTTTCTGTGTTGATTGGTATTGATTTTTAAGAGAGTATTTTGTTTGATTCGAAGTTGTAGAGAAACCATTATAGAGAATGTGGGAGTGGAGTTTGGATAGAAATGTGTGATGTCACAGGGTGGAAAACTCAAAGTTTAAGGGTTTAGAATATAGGAATATAAATAAAGCAAGGTGGAGGTTTTAGGGTGGATGCTGGTCCTTCTCCTTCTTCTCTTCCTCCTCCTCCTCCTTCTTTTTCTCCATGGGTTTGGTTGGTTTTGTGTAATTGGATAAAAAAGTCCCCATTGTGGGCACGAGTGGTTATTTATTGGGTTAAAAGTGAAAATAATTCAGGTGTCATTTCTTAATTGGAGAGTTTATCCTTAAAAAGCCTTGTAGAGAGAGAGATGGGGCTCCATTTTTAGTGTGTTAGAGTGAAGTGCTGTAGAACTCAGGGTTTGTGAGACAGAGATAAAAACTGATAAACATCCCAGTCCCAACAAGAAATCCCATCTCACACTTTTAATCCCAATCTAACAAACAAAAAAAACCAAAACCAAAAAAAAAAAAAACAAACAAAAAAAAAAAAAAAACCCCAAAACCCCCCAAAAAACCCCAAAACCAAAACAACAACAACAACCAATTAAAAAAAAAAAAAAACAAAAAACCAAAAAACCAAAAAAAAACCCAAACAAACAAAAAAAAACCAACAAAAAAACTAACAACAACCCCAAAAACCAAAAAACCATCTCCCCAGCCCTGGGGGTGCCCTGCAGGGTGGTGATTACTGCTCAGGAGTCTAAACACGCAGATGGGAGCACTTAGTACTTAGCGTCATCTAATCCTTTTTTCTTTTTTTTCTTTTTTTCTTTTTTCTTTTTTTTTTTTTTTTTGGGAAAAATGCTGCCCCGGTTTTGTCCTGATGTGAAGAAACCTGTTGTGGCAAATTGCACTAATTCAGAGCTCAGCTTAACAGGCTGAAATGGAGCTAAAAGCTTTGAGAGAAGCACAGCCAGGGGCCTCATGTGCCTCCACAGTGCCTCAAACCTTATTTTTTCCAGGGGCTGGCTTGGTTTAAATGTCATTTAAGGCTGAGCTTGAGGGTTTTGGTGCTTTGGATGTGAAGAGTTTTCTGGTGTTAAGTGTGGGCTTGGAGAGTGTGGCTGTTTTTTTCAGCTGGCAGCTAAAAAAAAAAATCAATTTTATGGAATCTCCTGAGCTGGAAGGGACCCACAGGATCATGGTCCTGCACAGACACCCCAAAATCCCACCCTGGGCATCTCTGGGAGTGTGACCCAAACTTTCCTGGAGCTCTGGCAGCCTTGGGAATGTGCCCAGCACCCTCTGGGGAAAGAACCTTTCCCTAAAATCCATCCTAAATCCGCCCTGGCCCGGCTCCAGCTGCTCCCTGGGGCACAGGGATGGGGGAAGCTCCAGGCTGGGATGAGTCTCCCTCCCCTCACTCTTTTCCCCAGGCTGGACCCACCAAATCTCTTTGTGGTTTTGTCTGATTCCCAAATCCACAGCACAGAAGGGGAAAATTCCTTCTGTTTCAGGAAGGACTTTTGCTGTTAATTTTTCTGGTTTTTATGGCTTTTCCTTGCAGAGCATCAGATGCATGCCCAGCACTGTTTTCTGGCTGGGATGATAATTTTTTCCTTGGAAGTTGACTGTCCCCATCTGTTGTGCCTGGCTGGAGAAATGAAACATCTTCCCATTCTCATCCTTGTTGCTGTAATTCCCACCTTGGACTCTGTAGGATCATCCCCTCCTTGGCTGTTTTATTTTCAGCTGCTGGATCCCAGCTGTCCAGGAAAACTCCAAAACTGGAGTTTGCTCCTAGGGCAGCTCCTTTAAAACAAAGCCTGCACATCAAAAACCCAAAAATTAAGATTATAGTGCTTCCTCCCTCTTTGGGAAGGTTCAAGGCAGCTCATCTGCCTCACGTGGATGTCGAGTCAGATCAGGGGGTGTTTGTATGAACAGTAAAAATTAATTTCAAGTTTATTAATAAGACCCAGCAGAGATTCTGCAGGAGTGAAGGAGTCCAGGCAAAGGCAGGAGATCCTGGCACTGCAGCTGCTCCACGGGGATATCAGTTTGTAGAACTCCATGTGGGTGTAAGGGCTGGGGAATCTCCCTGTGCAGAGCTAATTCCAGCCTGGGGCTGCTTTCTGTGCCTCATAATTATTTTATTTTTCTGAGATTATTGCGACACTGCCTGATAGCAATCGAGTCTGATAACACTGAAAATCCACAGCACAGAAGGGAAAAATTCTTTGTGTTTCAGGAAGGACTTTTAGGTTTCATTTTCTTGTTTCTTTATTTCAGCTTTTATTTATTTGTGTGTATATATTTACATATATATGTGTGTGTGTATCTGTGTATATATATATATATATATTTACATACAGAGACACACACACATACAGTTTATATATATATAAACTGTATAACATGTATATATTTACATATATATGTGTGTGTGTCTCTCTGTGTATATATATATATATATATACAGTGTCACACACACTTATTATACAGTTTATATGTATATATAAACTGTATAACATGTATATATTTATATATATATGTGTGTGTCTCTGTAAATATATATATATATACAGTCACACACACTTATTATACAGTTTATATATATATAAACTGTATAACATGTATATATTTATATATATGTGTGTGTCTCTCTGTATATATATAAATATACAGAGACACAAACACATATTATACAGTTTATATATATATAAACTGTATAACATGTATATATTTATATATATGTGTGTGTGTCTCTGTATATATATATATTTATATACAGAGACACACACACATATTATACAGTTTTTATATATATAAACTGTATAACATTTCAGAATTGACTATTGGGCTTCATTTCTTCAAATGAAGAAACATAAATTCCTATCTTTCCTTTCCTTCCCTGTAATAATTCTCACATTTGGAGAGATTTGTCAAACCATGGCTAAAAAAACTGGCACTGGCACCAATGATCTCTAGTGGAAAAAACCTTAAAATAAGTGTTTCTAATATTCATGAGGTATCAAAGAGATTTACAGCTGATCTGCACAGACTTGAAAAATCTCTTTTCTGTGAAGCAATAAATGAAGTTAATAATTACAGTACAATTAGAGCAGGAGAGTGATGTGTGGAGCCAGGTAGGATTTCTCCTTCACTGGCTGCAGGAAATGAGAGATTTGGGGTGCTGGGCTGTGAGTGTCCTTTGACCTGCACTCTCTACTACAGGTGGATAAAATGCTCAGAGTTGTAAGGTTCTGGTTGAGCCACCCATTTAGCTAATTTAGCTAAATTCTGCTTTTTTTTTTTTCCTTTAGGAGGCAGAGATGAAGGGCTCAGCCTCCCTGGAGTGCCCCAGGCTCTGTGAACTCTGTGCTAAATCGAACTGGAATTTGGGGCATTCACCACCCAGGAGTGGTCTGGGCTGGAAAGGACCTTAAAGATGATCCCATCCCACCCCTGCCATGGGCAGGGACATCTTCTGATGCCTCAGGGTTTAGCATTTATATTTTTCAGGCTCTGTGCTGCTTCAGTGTGCAGCTCTGAGCTTCACATTCAGTGTTGGTGAGCAGGGAGACAAAACAATTCCTGCTCCAGCTGGGCACCCAAATGATCCAAATCTCAGTCCAGGAGCACAAACACCGTGG